GATGTACCCCCCATTTTGCACGTTCTGAAAATTTGCCGAGTGCTGCAGTTGGAGGACAAAATTGCACGACACACCCAAAAGCTCATAAGAGTTTTATACTTCCCACTGTTTTTGTCCACTACAGGTGAGGTGAAGAAAACTCGGACAGTGACGTGGAAGACAACATGTTGTGTAACAGCACGGCGTGGTCCATCGCATAAGGCCAAAAACGAGGAGGAAGAGCTGCCTGCGTCAGCAGAGCACGCATCTTCTCCTGCACAGTTCGATTCATCCGTTCTGCTATCCCCATCTGTTGGTGTGCATGTGGCAGAGACTGCTTCCATTTGATGCCGAGGGTTTGGAGGTAATCTGTGAAAGCATTGCTCGTGTACTCCCCTGCGCCATCACTTTGGAATTCTTGCAGTTTTGCTCCAGACTCTCTTTCAGCGACGGCAAGCCATGCGACGAAGACTGAATGGGCGAGATATCGAGCAGGAAGGTTGGCTGTCCAAACGTAGCGAGTAGATGCTTCGATAAAGGTAATCATGTACTGCTCCTCTTTAGGTCCTGCTTCAGGTAAGTTGAGAATATTACTGTAAACTTTCTGCATCAGTTTATAACGAGTGGAGCCGGGAAAATGACTCGGAAACGGGTCGTGGGTAAGATTGGCAACCGGACACGTGGTGCAAACCGTTGGGCGAGACTGCGGTTTCATCTCCGTGCCGTCAGGTAAGAGAAGACTGTTTCTATCAAGAACTACTGCTCGAATTGATTGATTTAAAATCCCTTGCGATGGATGTCCTAACCGTTGATGCCAAATGTCTTCTGTGGCCTAACCCTTGTGTCCTGATGATCGCAGATAGAAATCGGCGCTAGTATAAAACGCAGAAACGATGAAAGGAGAAAGAGCTGGAGACATGTCGATCTCCCCTTCAACGAAACGAGTAAGTGGTAACTGAACATTTGACGGTTCTGCTGTAGTTGCAATTGCAACACATGATACTGCTTCTGTTGATGTGCTGGCAGATGGTCCTGCGACAGCTACTGGGAGACTCGGCTGCTCGGTGACTTCTGCTTTCGCGGCTTCCTCGACGACTTCGGGTTCATCCGCTGCAAGTCCACTGATTTCGCCCCAAAGTGGAACTGGAGTTCCTTGGAAGGCGGCACGAGTGTTATAAAAGGTTCGCCAAGCGTTGGCGCCTTCATCGGCGGTATTGAACTCCCAAGTATCAAGAGCGGTAGGAACGGCATCTGCAGTTCGAGAAGTCGTTGGTACAGTAGTCGCACGAAAATCAATATCAACGTGTTGATAATCGGTATCGTCTGGATTATCCCAGGGACCGAGAGCAAGGATGCGTTCAGAATCACCAGAGGTGCCCTGTGCCGTGAACTGAAGAACGGATACTCCATGTTGAGTAGCAGCACGACAGAGGTAAGTGTTGGTCAAACTGTGCCATAACTCCTGATCCATTGTATCACAATTGCCTTGTGTGCGAATCTTGTGTGCCAGGAGTTGAGCTGTGGAGAGAAGATTGAAGCCGAGGCCGGCGACGATAAGAACATTGGTAACGTATAAGGAATATCCCGTGTTGACGGATTCGAGCATTACACTCCGAATAGATCTGGCCATAATAGTTTGTCCGTTTGCGACTGTGACAGGTATCGGACGACGAAGTGGACGCTGATTGGTGATGAAGCTTGTTTCAGCGGAGCACATATGCCAACCGCAACAGCTGTCGAGATACCAAGTATTGGGTCCTAAAATGACTCGAGCAAGGCTAGCGTAAACTTGCGGTAAGGGAATGCCTTCGGCACTGGTGGTTTGTTCAAGTTGTGTCTCGAAATCAATTTCTGAAACATCAACTGTCGTAACACATCCAAAAACCCCTTTTCCTGATGTTGCAGATAGAAAAAACGGAGGACGATGCTGTGATGGAGGTGTGTTCTGCGGTGGTTTCTGCATCTGCTGCGTCTGGGATGTCGACTGCTGCGTTGGCTGATGTGACTTCAGTAACTGCTGCGAACGATGATATGGTTATGAAATACTGCAACGGTTTTGATGTCGACTGCGACAAGTTTGGTAAGCATGTCCTGGTTTCTTGCAGAAATGACAGAAGGGATATTTCGGGAGAAATCGTTGCTGCGGTTCTGGATTTGAGTAAAAACTTAAGTGTATCCCCTTCTTCTGATTGCGTTGTGACTGCAGGTCAAGATCTTGCTGTTTTGCTTGAAGATACGAGGAAATCTCGGCTTCTGAGAGATTCGGGTTCATGCACAAGAATGCGCGCGTCTGTCGCCACTCGGGACCAAGTCCAGCAAGAAGGACTGTGAGATACATCTCACGAGGGAAGTATCCACCACTCTTCTCCAATTGATCTCGTAGTGTGCGGACACGATTGACGTAATCCATGCCATTCTCGTTTGTCATCATCTGCACATTTGTCAGCTGTGAAAGAATCTTACTCACTGTGATTGTATCCTTTGCCATGTTCACCCCCTTTAAGTGGTTCCATGTAGTTTCAGCTGGCGTAAAGCTTGAATGAAAAGATCGAACGCCGAGCTGCTCCTTTGGCGATAATTTTCGAACAAGGACCGTATACGCCTCGAGAGAGGCGTGCAAGAAACTATGCTACTCTAGTTGTGTTCCCATAACAGGATACGTGAACTCGCCGGTGAAGAACGGCCATAGCCCGACAGACTGTGCCAGGAGTTCAAACTCGAATCTCTAGGAGTAAAAATCAACTCCGGCGGCTGAAAAACAATACCCTGTTGTTGAGGTTGTTGCAGTTGCTGAAATTGCTATGGATGTTGCTGCTGCTGCTTTTGTTGCTGTGGTTGTTGCTGAGCAGGTGAACGCCCGAAGATGTAAAAGGGTTGTTGCTGCTGAGACTACGGCTGCTACGTAAAATGTGCAAAGGCAAATGAACCGGTACTTGGAGCTGAAGGTTTATGCATGTAACTTGAGCCGTCAAGGCTCATTCCACTAAACGCTGATGATATTGACTGAGTTGAAAACTGTTGTGCTGTTGCCTGTTGTTGTGCTGTTGCCTGTGTTTGCTGTTGTTGCGCTGCAGGTGCAGTCGATGAAATCCCTGGAGTACTAACCGAAGAAGTATTTTGCTGCTGCTGCTGCATACCAATGTGCGCATAAGCCGGTGGAAACGGTCCAGAAGCTGAGAGACCAGTGGCAGTCGAGGAGACAGGTACTCCAGTAGTTCCGGAACTAGATCCGGTAGATTGTGCTGGTGTTGTTTCAGTCATTGTTGACAATAGTCTTAATTCCAGACAGCTCTCATACCATGTAAGAATTGAAAAGGTGGTGCAGGAGACTAGGTATAGAATCTGCAACCACAAGTACTTAACCAAGGATCTTTGCTGGAATGGTATACTAGTAAGACAGCGGAAGTCTTAGAACTTGTAGAGTAATGACCAGAATTTTACTGAAGAATAAGTTGAACAAGTCGACTACACAATGAAGATAGGCTACTTTATATCTAACAGAAGTACATGTTCGCTAATGTACCTGTTTGACAATATCGCGCTATGTGCCCTAAATGACACTGAAGAGACGCGACCGTTCGCGTGACTGAAACGACTGTCCTCATGACGAGCGCTATTTTCTGACGTCATCATACGGACTTCTTCTACAGTAGGATTCGACACTATCTACCGATAATTGACTTACATAAATGCTAAGTAAGTGTTGGAAATACCTCAAGGACTTAAGCGTTTCTGAAGTGTAACACCACACTCGAGGAAGGTCGTAACGGGTACGCGAGTCAACGGAGGTTACACGAGGGGATGGACAAACAACACGAAAGGACTCGAAGGGTCGCAACTGGAGGTTGCGACTGACAGTTGCAACTGCAAAGATGGTAACCGAAGCGACAATCGAGTCGCTGTGCGACTCGATAACCGCTCTTTCAACTGTATTCTACAATTGCTTTACTTTCCTACTTTCTATATATTGCTGTATGCTTGTTCTTTTAACTAATCACTTGTTCTCTCATACTAGTACAAGGGTTTAACCACTCAACTTCCGCTGCACTACTCAAGTCTCCTTTGCAACTGGACTTAGTCTCTGGAGAGATCCTAAGGGCTTTTCTCAGCCCAATAGTATGAATCATATCACAACACTTCCTAGACTATAAATATGCCCGTATTACTCATTATTATTATCCTTATGATTTCAGACATTTCCAGCACAAGGTGTAAAGTCTTCCACTGACTTTCTATTCGTCGTTCCACCAATTCTAGATCCCGACCACCCTAAATACGTGGTTCATTCCAACACTGATTATAGTTGCTTAAGTACGGTGGAAAAAAAAACATGAACTGGACAATATTTGGATGTGATAGAGCTTTGTGTCAACCTTGAATCCGCCCTAATATATCATAGTGATTATATTTAGTTTGAAGCCATTATACATAAGCGGTTCATGCTTTACACGGGATTTTTTCATAGCGTAACGCGTGTTCTTGCTGCGCAAGTTTGATCAGCCAGCTCGTCCAGCATGTGGCTATCCACGTCAGAAGCGGAGAGAACCAACCACACAACGAAGCTGCTCGTGCAGCGTCTTGTGTTGGGCCTCTTTTGGTTCTCTCTTGCGATTGGCCTTTTAGATTCATCGATTTTTGACGACACCCGCGTCGCGTGAACGGCGTGTGCATGTGGGCTGCACCGCACACAGCAGAGAAAATTCGATAATGAGGGAACGCTGACCGGTAAAGTAATCTGCTTCACCCCCGAGTTTTGCACGTAACTGGGGATCCAGAACAATTCCCAAAACTCACAATTTGTTACCTAAACACAGAGGGGAAGCGAAGCAGAAAATGGTGTTTCCATTTAGCCTGTCCATTGACAGGTTTGGTATACATCAGACTGGGCACCAGCAGGACTTCCCAAGCACATATTCCTCTCCAATTCGGGTCCCCCCACCTGCCCAAAGCCCTTCTGCTCCTCCAAGAAGCCCCGTTTCTTCTGCTCTGGTCTGGACCCAAGTTCAACTTTTGTGTTCCCTGGCAAGTTTCTAGAGCCTCTAGAACTGCAGCAGCTCCAGCGCTCATTTCTCGTCGCTGCTGGTGGGGCTCGAGTTAGCGGGAGGGACTTCCCCCTCTCCAGCCAGGTGGATATTCCTCCAGCCAGGTGGAGTCTTGACCTGGATCTGCTGAGGGCAGACCTAGGCCGTAGGGCTATTGCGTGGAGTCGCGCCTGGGGCTGCTCGGCTGGCGGATTAGCTTCTCCTGGTTCTCGAGTCGACAAGGGAACAGTTTCTACCAGCATTTCTCGTTTGGCGCGCCTCAGAAAGGGTTAGCATTGGCGCCTCACGAGGATCGGGCGAGCGCTGTTACGTCGGCTCGTTTTCCGACGGATCTCGTTTTCTGACGGATCTCGTTAGCTTGACAGTAGCGGCGACGCGCGCACCGTTCTTTTAACGACCGTGGTGGTCCATCACCATGGATCCATCACGTCACCACTCTTCACCGCACTCCACACCCAGATCCTCCCCTCACTCCATTAACGATCCGGCATCTTTCACCCACAACCCCACCCGACCCTCCATCGCCAACCCTAGCTCCCGAAGCTCTCAGTCAGGCTCGGCACTCGCAGCCCCGTTCCTCCTCAATGCTCGCAGCGCCATCACAGCCGCCATAGCCGCAGCCGCCGCGGGATCCGGCTTGCGGGTCGCGCAATGCCAACCCGTTGCCGCTGCGCCAGCTGCGCCAGCTGCGGCGGCGGCGGTTGCGGCTGCAGCGGCGACTCCTTCAGCAGCGGCGGCGGCAGCAGCAGCGGCACATGCGGCGGCGGAAATCCATCCGTCTGTTCACGAGCCGCCGCCGTCGTCAACGATCGGATTTGCGGAGGATCTTGTTCGGCCCGTGCCTCCCGCCGGTGCGGACGGTGGAGCCGATGCAGCAGCGAGAGTGGAGCCGCGATTGACGGTGGCTTCAATCACGAAATCGCTGATCGCAGGCGGCGTCGCAGGCGGAGTGTGAGTGGCTTAGGGCACGTTGACTGATTCCCCTTGGTGGTTACCACGTCGACCGTTGTTACTGGCTGTTGACTGATTCCCCTTGGTGGTTACCACGTCGACCGTCGTTACTGGTTTCCATCACGAAATCGCTGGTCGCTGGTGGCGTCGCAGGAGGAGTGTAAGTTCGCTTAAGATAGATGGATCTATTCCCCTCAGTAGTCACCAGTCTTGACCATGGTTACTGCCCTCGATCGTTGATCGGCGGAGGCGTGGAAGGAGGAGTGGCGATTGGTTCATGGCACGTTGATTGTCGACAGCGTTAACGCATCTCGCTGTGCCGCTATCGCCTTCCCCTTTACGGCTATCGCCGTCCCCTTAACGGCTAGAGCCTTCAACCATAGTTATATCGCTCGTGATCTCCTGTTTACCACTTGACTGCTTAGTTACCACCAAAGAACGATTTTTACCACCCTCCCCGATCGAGTTCGCTGTTGGTCTCGCATTAGTGGCTTTATAGAGCTCCGTTTAGTTACGTATAGGCAATCTGTTCGACATTGGTGTTACGGTTACCACGTTTTCCCGGCCGTTTCGCAATGTGACCGCATTTCCTCTTGATTTGGGTTACGTCGAAATCAGAGTTTTTGACATTTGGGGGTTTATCCAGATCAGGTTCACAGGCTAAACCCTGTACCACTCCCTCTCCACCCCCCCCCCTTCTTGCATGTTGTGCGGATGCAGGTCGAGGTCCGCAGTGGCTCCCCTGGAGCGAATGAAGATTCTTCTGCAGGTATGCCACTCGTTGGTGGTTGTGGTGATTGTGGTGCTGCTGGTGCTGGTGGTGCTGGTTATGGTTAGTTAATGCAGCATGCAGTGCGAGGATGAGCGCGAGTAGTGCTGACATGGACGCACAGCGCACAATACAGCGGCGCGTGGCAGGGGCTGGAGGCGATCTGGCGCGAGGAGGGGAAAAGGGGCCTGTTGCGCCAGCTCAATGTGCCCCTCTCTCCCCTCTCTCCCCTCTCTCCCCTCTCTCCCTCTCTCCCCTCTCTCCCCTCTCTCCCCTCTCTCCCCTCTCTCCCCTCTCTCCCTCTCTTCCCTCTCTCCCCTCTCTCCCTCTCTCCCCTCTCTCCTCGCTCTCCCCGCTCTCCCCTCTCTCCCCTCTCTCCCCTCTCTCCCCTCTCTCCCCTCTCTCTCCTCTCTCCCACCTCTCCCCTCTCTCCCCTCTCTCCCGGCTCTCCCCTCTCTCCACTCCCCCCTTTCCCCTTTCGGGTGCAAAACGCTCAGAACGCTCAATACAGCGGCACGTGGCAGGGGCTGAAGACCATATGGCACGAGGAGGGCATAAGGGGCCTGTTGCATCCACTCATTCGTCTTGCATTCCCCCTCTCCCCTTGTTGGAATACACGCCCAGAACGCCCAGAACGCCCAGAGCGCCCAGAACGCTACATTCATTCCCCCTTCCCTCTCTCCCCTTGTTGGAGTACAGGCCCAGAGCAGAACGCCCAGAACGCCCGGAACGCCCGGAACGCCCAGAGCGCCACATTCATTCCCCCTCTTCCCTTGTTCCAACACAGGTGCAAAACGCCCAGAACGCGCAGTACAGTGGCACGTGGCAGGGGCTGAAGACGATCTGGCGCGAGGAGGGCATCAGGGGGCTGTTCCGCGGCAACGGCACCAACTGCGCTCGCATCGTGCCCAACTCCGCTGTCAAGTTCTTTGCCTATGAGGAGGCTGCATAGTGAGTCCATGATGCGTTGATTGCGGTTTTGCTGTTTTATTGAGGGGTTTTGAGCCGTTTTGAAGGGTTTTGTGGAGCGCTCAAGGCAACGGCACGAGCCGCGCTTGCATCGTGCCCAACTCGGCTGTCAAGTTCTTTGCCTATGAGGAAGCCGCATAGTGAGTCCATGGGTTGATAGAGACTTGATTGTTGCTGCTTTGATGGGTTTTGAGGGTTTTTGAGGGGTTTTGAGGGATTTTGAGGGGTTTTGAGGGGTTTTGAGGAGCCTTCAAGGCAACAGCACCAACTGCGCTCGCATCGTGCCCAGCACCGCTGTCAAGTTCTTTGCCTATGAGGAGGCCGCATAGTGAGTCCATGGGTTGATGGGGGGTTGATTGTTGCTGCTTTGTGGTGCTTTGAGGTGGGTTGAGGGGTTTTGAGGTGCTTTGAGGGGGTTTGAGGGGTTTTGAGGAGCCTTCAAGGCAACGGCAACGGCACCAACCGCGCAATGAGTTTTTAGGTTGATAGGACATTGAGTGCTGCTGCTCTGAGGTGCGTTGAGGGGTTCTGAGGGGTTTTGATTTGAGGGGTCTTGAGGGGTTTTGAGGAACCTCTGTGGCAAGAGGAGGCGTAGGGAGACCCGTGTGTCCTACCTATGTCTTCCCCTTGTTCCTCTTACGTTATGACTCCCCCCTTTCCAATCTCCCGCCTTTCCAATCTCCCCCCTTTTCCAATCTCCCCCCTTTTCCAATCTCCCCCCTTTTCCAATCTCCCCCCTTTTCCAATCTCCCCCCTTTTCCAACCCCCCCTTTTCCAATCTCCCCCCCTGCTCCCCCCCACCAGTGGCCTTCTCTGGCTGGCCCAGCAGCAGTCCAACGACCCCAGTGAGTTCGCCCCTTCTGCCCTTGCCATGGACCCTTCTTGTTTGAAATGCGTCTGCCCTTGCCATGGACCCTTCTTGGTTGAAATGCGTCTGCCCTTGCCATGGACCCTTCTTGGTTGAAATGCGTCTGCCCTTGCCATGGACCCTTCTTGGTTGAAATGCGTCTGCCCTTGCTTAGAGTGCCTAATAGAGTGCCAAATAGAGTGCCTAGTTGAGTGCTTATTCGAGTGCCTAATCGAGTGCCTACTAGATTGCCTAATAGAGTACCTAAGAGAGTGCCTAATAGAGTATAGAGTACCCCCTAGACATGAGCATATGGCATCGCATTTTCACGATTGTTTTTTTTTTTTTTTTTAATAAAGAATATCACGCGATGCGATGCTTATCGCACGATAAAATGCGATATGCGGTAAAATGCGATATGCGACAAAAAAATTGTCGCATTTTTATCAAGCCAAGCCAAGCCATCCAGCTACATCGAAACCCTTATTCCCGTTTCCCATGGCCACCAGGGTGCGCACATTTGCTGCCCTTTTTTACACCTCTTGGAAACCCCCCTTTTTGGCTTAAAAAGTGCAATGCGATATTAATCAATGTCGCGCCCATAATGCGATAAGCGATAACCTGTTCCCCCTAAATTATATGGGGTGATGCGATGTTATCGCATCGCAGCGATTCAATAAAATGCGATGGGATGTAAAATCGCATTGCATTTTGATCATGTGCAATGCGATATAAATGAATGTCGCGCCCATAATGCGATAAGTGATAACCTGTTCCCCCAGAATTATATGGGGTGATGCGATGTTATCACATCGCAGCGATTCAATAAAATGCGATGCGATGTAATATCGCATTGCATTTTGATCATGTGCAATGCGATATTAATGAATGTCGCGCCCATAATGCGATAAGCGATAACCTGTTCCCCCAAAATTATATGGGGTGATGCGATGTTATCGCATCGCAGCGATTTAATAAAATGCGATGCAATGTAATATCGCATTGCATTTTGATAATGTCTAGTAGTACCCCCTTCACCCTCCTGAACAACAGACTTGGAGCTGACCCCGGTGTTGCGGCTCGGAGCAGGCGCCACAGCAGGCATCATTGCCATGTCCGCCACATACCCCATGGACATGGTCCGAGGGCGCCTCACAGTGCAGGTGGGTGGGCTGATTACATGGAGCGGGGTCAGATTACCTTGATGCACTGGGAGCAGGCGCCACAGCAGGCATCATTGCCATGCCCGCCACATACCCCATGGACATGGTTCCAGGGCGCCTCACAGTGCAGGTGGGTTTGGGACATTGCGACATAGGCATATGCATATGCATCAAGGGGGACTGGGTAACTGCTACAAGAGGGCGCTCACATGGGCATCATTGCCATGTCAGCCAGCCACGTACCCCATGGACATGGTCCGAGGGCGCCTCACAGTGCAGGAGCGTTGCACTGCACTGGCCTCCACAACATGCCATGTCCTCCACTTCCCCCATGGACATGGTTCGAGGGCGGCTCACAGTGCGGGTGGGTTAGTTGGTGGTACCTCTTACTGTGTGTGCCATAAACCCCACCACAACATGCCTTGACTGCCACATACCCCATAGACATGGTCCGAGAATGGCTCACAGTGCAGGTGGGTTGTGTTTGCTAACCACATCAGAACATGCCGCATGGGTCAGAGGGCAATTGACCCGTGTGCGCTACCTACAGGCTAAATCAGAACATGCCGCATGGGTCAGAGGGCAATCTACTGTAGTCGGATGGGTCTGCGGCCTCATGGGCATTCTTCTCTCTCCCTGCATTTCTCCCACCACCAGCCTTTGCAGGGCGTTTTTTAGAATTCTCAAAAACACCCTGCAAATTCATGGGCATTCTGCTCATTCCCTGCATTGCTCCCACCACCAGTCATTGTTCATGGGCATTTCTTCTCTCTCCCTGCATTCCTCCCCGCCTCCCTTCCTGCCCCACTCTGGTGTTCCCACCACCGGTCTGGCAGAAAAGGCGAGCAGCAAAACGAGGGCATGCGGCCCACGCGGCGGTGCCTGCCTCTCTGTCCGCTCCTCTCTCCCCTCATGCCTCCCTTCCCATGTCTCTGCCTCCTTGTGTCCCTCGCTCCCCACCACCAGTCCGGCAGAAAAGGCGAGCAGCGCTACAAGGGCATGCGCCACGCCGCGGTGACTATAGTGAAGGAGGAGGGCGTTCGCGCCCTCTATAAGGGCTGGTTGCCATCCGTTATTGGTGTGGTGAGTGATGGTAGTAGTGACCGGTCGACGGTTCTAGTGGTAGTGGCGACTGGCTGCCAGCTGTAGCAAAGCATAGGGGTGTGCGCCCTCTGTAGAGGCTGGTTGCCTTCCGTTATTGGCGTGGTGTGTGATGGTAGTAGTAAGATGACTTGTGAGTCGGCACAACAGTCATCTGGTTGACCTGTGTTATTGGAATGGTGAGTCGTGGTAGTAGTGAGTCGTGGTAGTAGAGCGCCGTGGTAGTAGTGAGTCGCGGTAATAGTGAGTCGTGGTAGTAGTTGGTCGTGGTAGTAGTGCGTTGTGGTAGTAGTGAGTTGTGGTCGTAGTGGGTCGTGGTAGTAGTGAGTCGTGGTAGTAGTGAGTCGTGGTGAGCCGCGAGTTGTGGTAGTTGTGAGTCGTGGTGAGTCGCGAGTCGTGGTAGTAGTGAAGTGACCGGTTGTAGTGGTAGTGGAAACTGGCAGCCAGCTGTAGTGAAGGAGGCAAGTGTGTACGCCCTCTATAGGGGCTGGCTGCGGCACCCTCGACGGCGCCTCCAGATGGTGGGGTGGAGAGATTTGGCCTCATTGGCTAAACGGATGTGTAACCTTGCCCCCCCTTTCCGGCCCCACGTGGGTCTCGACTTCGCAGTGTACGAGACTCTTAAGGCTGGCTCGCAAGAATGTACGCAGCTCAGCAGCCCAAGCAGGCGGAGCTCTCGGTGCTCGCCAAGCTGGCGTGCAGGGCGGTGGCAGGAACACTGGGCCAGACTGTCACATGGGCCAGACTGTCACATACCCCCCTCTTTCTGCCCCTCCCCTCCCCCTCGTCCACCCCTACCAGATCCCCTACGTGGGTCTCAACTTCGCAGTGTACGAAACCCTAAAGGACTGGCTTGCAAGAATGTACGCGACTCAGCAGCCCGAGCAGGCGGAGCTCTCAGTCCTCACCAAGCTGGCGTGCGGGGCGGTGGCGGGAACGCTGGGGCAGACAGTGGCGTACCCGCTGGACGTGGTGCGGCGGCGGCTGCAGATGGTGGGGTGGAAGGACGCGGCTAGTGTGCTCAGAGCGGACGGCACGGTGGCAGCGGCCCCGCAGTACACCGGGATGATAGACGCTTTCCGGAAGACGGTGCAGACGGAGGGAGTCAAGGCGCTCTACAAGGGGCTTGTCCCAAACTCTGTCAAGGTGGGTTCTTCTGCTGGGCTGGGGGGTTTCTCTCACCTATTCTGTGCCTTGCATAGCCTTGGAGTGTGCTGAGAGTGGGCGGCACAGTGGCAGCAGCGCCATGACACACCGGGATGGGGCATGCTTTCCGGAAGACGGTGCAGATGGAGGGAGTCAAGGTGCTCTACAAAGGACTTGTGCCCAATTCCGTCAAGGTGAGATCCGCTGCTGGTGTAGCCTGCAAGTGTGCTGATGTGCGGATGACAGACAAACCAAATGGCACAGTGGCAGCGGCGCCGCAGTACACCGGGATAACAGACGCGTTCCGGAAGACGGTGCAGATGGAGGGGGTGAAGGCGCTCTACAAAGGACTTGTCCCCAACTCTGTGAAGGTGAGATGTTGTGCTGGCTCTTGCATTTATTCTCGGTGGCTGGTTCTGCCTGCGGCGGCACTCAGAGGTGGTGGACGCCTTTCAGGTGACTTTTGAGTCGACTCAAAAGTCACCTCGTTACAATGTCACACAACAAAGTCACCTCGTTACAATGTCACACAACAAAGTCACCTCATTACAATGTCACACAACAAAGTCACCTCGTTACAATGGACCTCCCCTCAACACCTTCGCTTCAAGGAGTGCCTGCGGCGGCACTCAGAGATGAAGGACGCCTTTCTGGAAGACAGTGCAGATGGAGGGAGTGAAGGCGCTCTACAAGGGGCTCGTGCCCAATTCTGTAAAGGTGAGATCTTGTGCTGGTTCTTGCGTTTATTCCCAGTGGCTGGCTCTGCCTGCCGTGGCACTCCGGGATGATAGACACCTTTCAGGAAGACAATGCAGGTGGAGGGAGTGAAGGCGCTCTACAAGGGGCTCGTGCGCAGTTCTGTGAAGGTGACATCCTCTGCTACTGTAGCCTTAGTGTGCTGAGCGCACACTGGCAGCAGAGAGGGAGGAGGTAGCACGCTGACCAGGTGAGGCGAAACCAGCGGTTGAGGAGGTACTCCTTGCTGCAAGTGGTCCCTGTGCCTACCTGTGCCTTTGTCTTCATCACACAATGCCAGGTGGTACTGTCCATCGCTGTTGTGTTTGTCATGTATGAGTGACATCCTGAAAGAAAGACTTGTTCTCTCGACATGTTTCTTGTGCGCCCTGTGCTAACCCTTTGTTTCCTGCCCTCCCTGTGTGTTTCTGTCCCTGCTCCTCTAACCCCTCCCCCCCACTGCACCCAGGTGGTGCCATCCATCGCCATTGCCTTCGTCACGTACGAGATCATGAGAGACTTGCTCAAGGTGGAAATTCGCATCTCAGATTGACTCTGCAGTTGCATGGGCAACATCGGTCATCTCTCCTTACATCCGCATTGGCTTGGCTGCCATCATGCATAGGAGGATGCTGTTGTGGGTGGCACGGCGGCGTATTGCGGCTCGGCTTGTGGGCTGTTATGGCTGTTCTCGCACTCATCTACGGCCAGGAGCTAGGGAAGGAATGCATATTTGTACTGTAGGATTAGGTACGATTGCAATCATTTTGCAATTAATAGACATCAGGTTAAGCATTTAACGTAACTTCTGCCTTCACGAAACACATCCGGCAAGGAAAACCGAAGGACACGTTTAGGTTGTCATAAGAGATGCCTTGGTGTTTCAGGTGAATCAAAGCACTTGTGAATGAAGAATACCGTACTGAACCGCACCAGGCTGAACTCTAGCTAGCTTACCCCTGACGCTGACCATCACTCTGGTTTGAAAAATGCTAGTCTTCTAGACTGCAACTAGGCCACGCCGCCAAAATAGACAGCCGCTAAGTAGGTCCACTGGTCTCCAACGGTCGAAAGTGCATCAGTTGGTCGAGCTCGAATAGCCGGCCGTGAACGCGCGTGAAACGTTCGCAATAAACTCTCTACTAGTTGCAGTGCGTTGGGTTGGGTTGCGTCACTGACGGCCAGTAGTCTCCAGCGATTTCACTGCCTCCTGGATTCGCTGGCGTTGCGGACCCTCCGCTGTGCGTGTGAGCAACATCATAGTCACGTGCTTTGAGACGTCTCGAATACGACTTTTATACCCTGACTTTGCGGACCTTCCACTGTGTGTGTGCGAGTGACATCATAATCACGATGCCGCCGCTGTCGCACCTCCCCTTCACCATATCGCCGGACGCCATGCAGATCCTTCGGTCGCACCGCATAGCCACCCGTAGACTTCTCGCTTTCCTATTCCCACTTGCTTTCATTCCTCTCCGCATCTCTTTAGACCCCCCTTCATTAGAGACACCTCAACCTTCGATAGCACCGCATAGCCACTCGTAGGCTTCTCACTTTCCCATTCCCACTTGCCTTTATTCCTCTCCGCATCTCTTTAGACCCCCCTCCGTTTGAGATGCCTCAAAAGCGCACTGCAAATCCTTCTATCTCACCGCATAGCCACTCATAGGCTGCTCCCTTTCCTATTCCCCCCTTTCCCTTCCCCGCTTGCCTTTCTGTCCTTCCGCCCATCCATTTCCCTCTCCTGTTACGCTTCTTTTGCATGGCATGGGTATGCGTGGTTTGTCATTGCCCTGGGTGCTTCGTTGTGCCTGCATGAATGCCTTAATGCCTGAATGCATGAATGCCTGAATGCATGAATGCATGAATGCCTGAATGCATGAATGCATGAATGCATGAATGCCTGAATGCCTGAATGCCTGAATGCCTGAATACCTGAATGCCTGAATGCCTGAATGCATGAATGCATGAATTCCTGAATGCCTGAATGCCTGAATGCATGAATGCCTGAATGCCTGAATGCCTGAATGCCTGAATGCCTGAATGCATGAATGCCTGAATGCATGAATGCCTGAATGCATGAATGCATGAGTGCCTGAATGCCTGAATGCCTGAATGCATGAATGCCTGAATGCCTGAATGCCTGAATGCATGAATGTATGAATGCATGAATGCCTGAATGCATGAATGCCTGAATGCCTGAATGCCTGAATGCCTGAATGCATGAATGCCTGAATGCCTGAATTCCTGAATGCCTGAATGCATGAATGCATGAATGCCTGAATGCCTGAATGCCTGAATGCCTGAATGCCTGAATGCCTGAATGCCTGAAGGCATGAATGCATGAATGCATGAATGCCTGAATGCCTGAATGCATGAGTGCCTGAATGCGTGCGTGCATCGTGCATGCATGGCGGATGGTCACATGCGTGCTGCTCCTTCTGTATGCTATGCATGATTATGTGCTCGCACGCATGCATGCATGGTGGGTGGTGCTTCAGTGGGGGATTTTATCATGGCGGATGGTCGCATGCTTGGTGTTACTTCCGCATGCATGAATCATTCTGTGAGCGATGCATGCATGCATGGTGGGTGGGTGATGTCCTGCAGTGGAGGATTTCGTCATGGCGGATGGTCGCATGCTGCGGAGGGACGTGGAGGGCATGGCGCATGGCACGGCTAGGGATGACGCACTGCAGGTGATAATTCTTTCTTGATTCGCGTGCATGCATGCATGCATGGTGGGTGATGCCCTACAGTCGAGGATTTCAACATGGTGACTTTTGAGTCGACTCAAAAGTCACCATGCATGCATGGTGGGTGATGCCCTACAGTGGAGGATTTCAACATGCCAGATGGTCACATGCTTCGGAGGGACGTGGAGGGCATGCCGCATGCCAGTGGCTGCGTGAAGGAGGATGTTTCACAGGTATGTATTTATCCCTGTCTTGCCTTGCATGAATGCATGCATGGATCATACACCCAGGAGGACGAGGAGTGGAGTGCATGGCGCATTCATGGCAGGGCTAGGTAGGGAAGATGCTTTACAGGTGATGATCGCATGATTTTGGTGATGGTGTGATGGTGATATATTCGGCATGGTGACCTTTGAGTGATGATGATGAATCATTGGTGATGCTGATGGTGATGGTGATGGCGATGCCAAAATGGTGATAAGTCATGACCTATCTAATGATGATGGTGATGGTGATGGTGATGTTGACTGACAGGGCAAGCAAGTTAACCTTGAATTTCGATTGTTAGTCACTTTTGGAGGGACCTGAATGGCATGGCTCACTGCAAAGGAGGATGCTTACAGGACCATGCTAGAAGCGCTGGCACACATGCATGAGATGCATGCCCTGGGTCACGTGGCATGCGTTTATGGGTTCATCATGCATGCATACCTCTGAGCCTGACATAGTGGTAGTGACGGCGTGATAACGCGTATAACTCCATCTGCTACGTGGATTATCCGTGGGTGGCTTTATGACGCCATTGGATTTGCATGATAATTCGGATTCATCCATCCATACATGTATGGATTCATGCTTGTGCATGTGTGCTCTTGGATGGATCGTTGCATGACAGGCCATAGACCAGCTACATCATCACATGGTGCATGCCATGTGCATGCCAGCACATGCCAGTGGGGACCAGCTCTTGAGGGACATCTACAGGGAGGGGCCCTATGGTGACAACAGCGAGGGCCTAAACCAAGAGGACCCTTATCCGCAGCAGAGACAAGCGCAGACGGGGGAAGAGGAGGAAAAATGGCAGTGCAAGGGGGAGCAACTGCAACAGCAGTATCAGCAGCAGGAGGGGCAAGAGCAATGGCAAGTGGACGATGTTGGGAGGAGGCAGTGGAAACATGCGACCATCAGCACTGGGTGCTCCAGGTGAGATCATGGTGCTGTGTGTGTGGTATGGTGCATGGCGTGTGGGACATGGACCCATGGTGGCTGGATGCTTCCCGTAAAGAAAGAGTACACGTTCATTACTACATTCTCAGCAGCACCAGATGCTATTCCCGCCTCCAACCGTCCTTGAGTTAACAGGAGGACGAGATGGCATTGAAAAGTACCGTGCTTTGATTTTTCCAGCTTGTTCCTGCCAATGCCCCTCCCGCTTGCTTCCCATCTAGCCTTGACTCGCTGCTTGGGAGAGGCCTGCCCCTGGCAGCGGTCACAGAAGTCCCTGGAGCTGCTGGTGCTGAAGCCACCCTTCTGTCCCTGGCCTTCGCATGTCCACTCAATCCCCCCACACCCTTCTTTCTCCCCCCCATCTAGCATTGACTCCTTGCTAGGGGGAGGCCTGCCCCTGGCAGCAGTCACAGAGGTCACTGGCGCTGCTGGTGCTGGCAAGACTCAGGTGGGGCTAATGGATGCTTGGAGAGGGTGGAGGCCAGAAGTAGAGGGCAGAGGGAGGGGGGGGGAGATGGAATAACCATAAAGAGAAGAGGGCAGAGGGAGAGGAGAGAAGGGGGGGGGGGATGATATTTAGGCGGGAGAAGGGACAGCTTCGATGATGGAGGCCTGCCCCTGGCAGCAGTCACTGAGGTCACTGGCGCTGCTGGTGGGCAAGACACAGGTGGGTAGAGACGGCCGAAGAGAAGAGATGGGGTATTCAAGAGAAGAGGCAACTGCTCAGGTGGGAAGGGCAGGGTAGAAAGGGGGATAGTTGCAAGAGCAGGGCTTCAAGTGCTTAGGTGGGGCAAGGAGAGGGAATGAAAGGCGAGGGTGTGTGAGAGCGAGAGTTTAAGAGCGGGTGGGGGTAGTGGTGATCATAGGCGGATTAGACTTGGGGCCTTCGCTCTGTATCTCCCTTTTTTCCCTGCTCCCCCCCTCTCATGTGCTCTCCCGTTGCGTTTGTGCACCACCTCTAATCATGTAACCCCCCCTACCAGCTCTGTTCTCTCATCATCCCTCTCACCACCCCAACCAGTTCTGCCTGCAAGCAGCAGCAGCAGCAGCGATAGCTGCAGTCTCCCCACTGCTCTCCCAACCCAAGCCCCTCACACAGCTCTTCTCTCCAGCACAAACGTGCCTCTAGCACCTTTTCTCCCACCCGGCATCACCTCCTTCCCCCTCCCTCCACTCCCCTTCTCCCCCCCAACCAGTTCTGCCTGCAAGCACCAGCAGTAGCTGCGATCACCCCACTTCTGTCACAAGCCACTGACATCCCTCCCCCTCTCTCCCACCACAAATCACCTCTTTTCCGCTCCCTTTCCCCCCCGCCTCCCTCTCCCCCTTCCTCTCCCCTCCCCCTCTCAACCAGTTCTGCCTGCAAGCAGCAGCAGTAGCTGCAATCTCCCCGCTGCTCTCTCAAGCCACTGACATTGCTCCACCTCAGCACGCATCAGCCTCTCACAGCAGTTCGGCCCCTCAACCCAGAGGAAGTGCGCCGCCCAGCACAGGGTCAACAGTGGCGTTTGTTGACACGGCTGGCAGCTTCTCTGCTGCCTGTATCGCCACTGTCATTGGATGGATGATGGGGTCTAGAGAGCGGTGCCAGGTGAGTATGGAACGTTTGTGGGGGGTTGGTGGGCATACAGTGCGCATCCCCATCGATCCATTGACTCGGCTGGTAGCTTCTCTGCTGCATGCATTGCCTCTGTCATTAGACGGATGAAGGGGAGTAAGAGTGAGGTGCTTGCTAGGTGAGCATGGGAGGGTGGCGGTGCGCACAGTGAAGAATGGTTGTTTTCTGCTGCCTGCACCGCCACTGTCATTGGGCGAATCAGAGGGAAACGAGAGAGAGAGAGAGAGAGAGAGAGAGAGAGAGAGAGAGAGAGAGAGAGAGAGAGAGAGAGAGAGAGAGAGAGAGAGAGAGAGAGAGAGAGAGAGCGAGAGAGAGAGAGAGAGCTTGAGTCCTTTCCTCTCTATTTAAGACCTCTCCCTGCCTCAAACTCCTTGTTTAGTTTCCAGTTATTCTTTCTCCTACCCTTGGTGGCAAGAGAGAGGAGAGAGAGAGCGAGAGAGAGAGAGAGCTTGAGTCCTTTCCTCTCTATTTAAGACCCCTCCCTGCCTGATTTTCCTTGTTTAGTTTCCAGTTATTCTTTCTCCTACCCTTGGTGGCGAGAGAGAGGAGAGAGAGAGCGAGAGAGAGAGAGAGAGAGAGAGAGAGAGAGAGAGAGAGAGAGAGTGAGTCCTTTCCTCTCTATTTAAGACCTCTCCCTGCCTCATTTTCCTTGTTTAGTTTCCAGTTATTCTTTCTCCTACCCTTGGTGGCGGCTCGCGCCAGCAGCCTTCGGCCGCGCGGGAGGGGGTGGCAAGTCCTGCATCCAAATATAATGCAGCAAGTACAAGGCATGCGTGATGGAGCACCTCCAATTCTAGACTAGGATCTGAAGGGCGTATACAATATTGGCCTACAGGGCCTTGCCGTGGCATTCAAAAGCACACATGGAGCACCTGATACGCCGTATAGAGTGCCTAGTTGAGTGCTTAATCGAGTGCCTAATCGAGTGGCTACTAGAGTTCCTAATCCATGGACCAGTCCCTTGCCATGGACCCTTCTTCGTTGAAATGCGTCTGCCCTTGCCATGGACCCTTCTTGCTTGAAATGCGTCTGCCCTTGCTTAGAGTGCCTAATAGAGTGCCGAATAGAGTGCCTAGTTGAGTGCTTAATCGAGTGACTAATCGAGTGGCTACTAGAGTGCCTAATAGAGTACCTAATAGAGTGCCTAATAGAATGCCTAATAGAGTATAGAGTACCCCCTAGACATGAGCATATGGCATCGCATTTTCACGATTGCATTTTTTTTTAATTGTTTTTAAGAATATCACGCGATGCGATGCTTATCGCAGGATAAAATGCGATATGCGGTAAAATGCGATAAAAAAAATGTCGCATTTTTATAGCATTTTTATCAAGCCAAGCCAAGCCATCCAACTACATCAAAACCCTTATTCCCGTTTCCCATGGCCACCAGGGTGCGCACATTTGCTGCCCTTTTTAACACCTCTTGGAAACCCCCCTTTTTTGCTTATAAAGTGCAATGCGATATTAATGAATGTCGCGCCCATAATGCGATAAGCGATAACCTGTTCCCCCAGAATTATATGGGGTGATGCGATGTTATCGCATCGCAGCGATTTAATAAAATGCGATGCGATATAATATCGCATTGCATTTTGATCATGTGCAATGCAATATTAATTAATGTCGCGCCCATAATGCGATTAGCGATAACCTGTTCCCCCAAAATTATATGGGGTGATGCGATGTTATCGCATCGCAGCCATTTAATAAAATGCGATGCGACGTAATATCGCATTGCATTTTGATCATGTCTAGCAGTACCCCCTTCACCCTCCTGAACAACAGACTTGGAGCTGACCCCGGTGTTGCGGCTAGGAGCAGGCGCCACAGCAGGCATCATTGCCATGTCCGCCACATACCCCATGGACATGGTCCGAGGGCGCCTCACAGTGCAGGTGGGTGGGCTGATTGCATGGAGTGTGGTCAGATTACCTTGATGCAATGGGAGCAGGCGCCACAGCAGGCATCATTGCCATGTCCGCCACATACATACCCCATGGACATGGTTCCAGGGCGCCTCACAGTGCAGGTGGGTTTGGGACATTGCGACATAGGCATATGCATATACATCAAGGGGGACTGGGTAACTGCTACAAGAGGGCGCTCACATGGGCATCATTGCCATGTCAGCCAGCCACGTACCCTGTGGACATGGTCCGAGGGCGCCTCACAGTGCAGGAGGGTTGCACTGGCCTCTTACCATGTGTGCAATGGACCCCACAACATGCCATGTCCGCCACTTACCCTATGGACATGGTTCGAGGGCGGCTTACAGTGCGGGTGAGTTAGTTGGTGGGACCTCTTACTATGTGTGCCATAGACCCCACCACAACATGCCTTGAGTGCCACATACCCCATAGACATGGTCTGAGAACGGCTCACAGTGCAGGTGGGTTGTGTTTGCTAACCACATCAGAACATGCCGCATGGGTCAGAGGGCACTTGATCCGTGTGCGCTACCTACAGGCTAAATCAGAATATGCCGCATGGGTCAGAGGGCAATCTACTGTAGTCGGGTGGGTCTGCGGCCTCATGGGCATTTTTCTCTCTCCCTGCATTTCTCCCACCACCAGTCTTTGCAGGGTGTTTTTGAGAATTCTAAAAACACCCTGCAAATTCATGGGCATTTCTTCTCTCTCCCTGCATTCCTCCCCACCTCCCCGCCTCCCCGCCTGCCCCACTCTGGTGTCCCCACCACCGGTCTGGCAGAAAGGCGAGCAGCGAAACGAGGGCATGCGCCCCACGCGGCGGTGCCTGCCTCTCTGTCCGCCCCTTCCTCTCCTCATGCGTCCTTTGCCTCCCTTCCCTTGCTTCTGCCGCCATGTGCCCCTCTCATGTCGCCACCACCAGTCCGGCAGAAAAGGCGAGTAGCAGAAAAACGGCATGCCCCACGCGGCGGTGCCTGCCTCTCTGTCCGCCCCTCTCTCCCCTCATGCCTCCCTTCCCATGTCTCTGCCTCCTTGTGTCCCTCGTCCTTGTGTCCCTCGTCCTTGTGTCCCTCGCTCCCCATCACCAGTCCGGCAGAAAAGGCGAGCAGCGCTACAAGGGCATGCGCCACGCCGCGGTGACTATAGTGAAGGAGGAGGGCGTTCGCGCCCTCTATAAGGGCTGGTTGCCATCCGTTATTGGTGTGGTGAGTGATGGTAGTAGTGACCGGTCGACGGTTGTAGTGGTAGTGGCGACTGGCTGCCAGCTGTAGCAAAGCATAAGGGTGTGCGCCCTCTGTAGAGGCTGGTTGCCTTCCGTTATTGGCATGGTGTGTGATGGTAGTAGTAAGATGACTTGTGAGTCGACTCAACAGTCATCTGGTTGACCTGTGTTATTGGAGCGGCGAGTCGTGGTAGTAGTGAGTCGTGGTAGTGGAGCGTTGTGGTAGTATTGAGTCGTGGTAGTAGTGAGTCCTGGTTGTAGTGCGTCGTGGTAGTAGTGCGTCGTGGTCGTAGTGAGTCGTGGTGAGCCGCGAGTTGTGGCAGTGGTGAGTGGTGGTGAGTCGCGAGTCGTGGTAGTAGTGAAGTGACTGGCTGTAGTGGTAGTGGAAACTGGCAGCCAGCTTTAGTGAAGGAGGGAAGTGTACGCGCCCTCTATAGGGGCTGCCTGCGGCACCCTCGACGGCGCCTCCAGATGGTGGGGTGGCTAAACGGATGTGTAACCTTGCCCCCCCTTTCCGGCCCCACGTGGGTCTCGACTTCGCAGTGTACGAGACTCTTAAAGGCTGGCTTGCAAGAATGTACGCGACTCAGCAGCCCGAGCAGGCGGAGCTCTCGGTGCTCACCAAGCTGGCGTGCAGGGCGGTGGCAGGAACGCTGGGCCAGACTGTCACATGGGCCAGACTGTCACATACCCCCCTCTTTCTGCCCCTCCCCTCCCCCTCGTCCACCGTTGCCAGATCCCCTACGTGGGTCTCAACTTCGCAGTGTACGAAACCCTAAAGGACTGGCTTGCAAGAATGTACGCGACTCAGCAGCCCGAGCAGGCGGAGCTCTCAGTCCTCACCAAGCTGGCGTGTGGGGCGGTGGCGGGAACGCTGGGGCAGACAGTGGCGTACCCGCTGGACGTGGTGCGGCGGCGGCTGCAGATGGTGGGGTGGAAGGACGCGGCCAGCGTGCTCAGAGCCGACGGTACGGTGGCAGCGGCACCGCAGTACACCGGGATGATAGACGCTTTCCGGAAGACGGTGCAGACGGAGGGAGTCAAGGCGCTCTACAAGGGGCTTGTCCCAAACTCTGTGAAGGTGGGTTCTTCTGCTGGGCTGGGGGGTTTCTCTCACCTATTCTGTGCCTTGCATAGCCTTGGAGTGTGCTGAAAGTGGGCGGCACAGTGGCAGCAGCGCCGCAACATACCGGGATGGGGCATGCTTTCTGGAAGACAGTGCAGATGGAGGGAGTCAAGGTGCTCTACAAAGGACTTGTGCCCAATTCCGTCAAGGTGAGATCCGCTCCTGGTGTAGCCTGAGTGTGTGCTGATGTGCAGATGACAGACAAACCAGACGTCTCAGTGGCAGCGGCGCCGCAGTACACCGGGATAATAGACGCGTTCCGGAAGACGGTACAGATGGAGGGGGTGAAGGCGCTCTACAAAGGACTTGTTCCCAACTCGGTGAAGGTGAGATCTTGTGCTGGCTCTTGCATTTATTCTCCGTGGCTGGTTCTGCCTGCGGCGGCACTCAGAGATGACGGACGCCTTTCAGGTGGCTTTTGAGTCGACTCAAAAGTCACCTCGTTACAACGTCACACAACACCGGACCTCACTTTTGTCATTACAATGGACCTCCCCTCAACACCTTCACTTCAAGGAGTGCCTGCGGCGGCACTCAGAGATGATGGATGCCGTTCAGGAAGGCAGTGCAGATGGAGGGAGTGAAGGCGCTCTACAAGGGGCTCGTGCCCAATTCTGTAAAGGTGAGATCTTGTGCTGGTTCTTGCGTTTATTCCCAGTGGCTGGCTCTGCCTGCCGTGGCACTCCTGGATGATAGACACCTTTCAGGAAGACAATGCAGATGGAGGGAGTTCTGTGAAGGTGACATCCTCTGCTACTGTAGCCTCAGTGTGCTGAGCGCACACTGGCAGCAGAGAGGGAGGAGGTAGCACGCTGACCAGGTGAGGCGAAACCAGCGGTTGAGGAGGTATTCTGATAGACTTGATGCAAGGGGTCTCTGTGCCTCCTACCTGTGCCTTTGTCTTCATCACACAATGCCAGGTGGTACCGTCCATCCCTGTTGTGTTAGTCATGTATGAGTGACATCCTGAAAGAAAGACTTGTTCTCGACATGTTTCTTGTGCTCCCTGTGGTAACTCTTCGTTTTCTGCCCTCCCTGTGTGCTTGTGCCCCTGCGCCTCTAACCCCTCCCCCCCGCCCCACCCAGGTGGTGCCATCCATCGCCATTGCCTTCGTCACGTACGAGATCATGAGAGACTTGCTCAAGGTGGAAATTCGCATCTCAGATTGACACTGCAGTTGCATGGGCATCATCGGTCATCTCTCCTTACATCCGCATTGGCTGCCATCATGCATTAGGGGATGCTGTTATGGGTGGCACGGTGTATTGCGGCTCGGCTTGTGGTCTGTTATGGCTGTTCTCGCACTCATCTACGGCCAGGAGCTAGGGAAGGAATGCATATTTGTACTGTAGGATTAGGTACGATTGCAATCATTTTGCAATTAATAGACATCAGGTTAGGCATTTAACGTAACTTCTGCCTTTCGCGAAACACAACTTGCAAGGAAAAGCAAAGAACACGTGTAGGTCGTGTCATAAGAGATGTCTTACTGTTTCAGGCGAATCAAACCACTCGTGAATGAAGAATACACTTGTCCTCCGCCAATTTCTCTGTCGGCAACTTCTCAGATTTTGTCACTTCCTGTGCCCATTCGCCCACAGCCGCCAAAAACTCGCACGTGCCAACTCCCACATGTTCAGGGAAAGCGAAAACCAAGGCGCCATGTAACACCTCTCTGCACGAAATTGAGTGACGAAGCCCCAAACAGAAGGACATGCCGAAATCGAAACAGGCACCATATGGAGCGTTTTTACTGGTTGGCTAGATTTACCCCAACACGCGAACCACACATTCTCTACGAATGGAGGGGGGCCTAAACCAAACTCTCAGACCAATTCGTCTCGACATGCAAACAAAACCAATTTACTTCCAACCGCTAAGACAACCAGAGGAGCACTAACAGGCCCGGTAGCTCACGCACGGTCACCACTGCCGCCATGCCTATGTCAAACATGTATATCTACTATGTTTGCATAGATTTAATAGAGTCATGTCTTATATAGGGTACAACTCTTAGGTATGTTCACATGTTCTCTCTCTTTTAATCATTCTTCTACTCTGATATGGTATCACGCGTAGGTTTCGACCCCCCCCTCCCCCCCCCCCTCCACTTATCGCTTCCGCTCCTACCCTCGCTAGGCCCCGCCGAGCCCCTCCTGGGCCCTTCGTCTCTCGTAGCCCAGTCGCGCCTCCCTGGGCCCTACCGTGCCTCCTAGCTCAGACGCGCCCCTTCTGGGCCCAGTCGCTCCTCCTAGCCCAGCCGCGCCCCTCCTGGGCCCCGTCGCCCCTCCTCGCCCAGCCACGCCCCTCCTGGGCCCTATCGCGCCTCAGAGCCCAGTCGCGCCCCTCCTGGGCCCCGTCGCGCCTCCTAGCCCCGTCGCGCCCCTCCTGGGCCCTAGCGTGCCTCCTACTCCAGTCACGCCCCTCCTGGGCCCCTAAAGCGCCTCCTAGCCCAGTCGCGCCCCCCCTGGGCCCCTAGCGCGCCTCCTAGCCCAGTCGCGCCCCTCCTGGGCCCCTAGCGCGCCTCCTCGCCCGTTCGCGCCCCTCCTGGGCCCCGTCGCGCCTCCTAGCCCAGACGCCCCTTCCTGGGCCCTGTCGCACCTCCCTGCCCGGTCGCGCCCCTCCTGGGCCCCGTCCCTCCCTTAGCCCCGTCGCGCTCGCCCGGCCCCGTCGTGCTCGCCCGGCCCCGTCGCGCCTGCCCGGCCCCCCCGTCGCGCCTGCCCGGCCCCGTCGCGCCTGCCCGGCCCCGTCGCGCCTGCCCGGCCCCCGTCGCGCCTGCCCGGCCCCGTCGCGCCTGCCCGGCCCCGTCGTGCTCGCACGGCCCTGTCGCGCCCACCTGGCCCTGTCGCGCCCTGCCTAGCCCCGTCGCGCCCTGCCCGGCCTCGACGCGCTCTGCCGGGCCCCGTCGCGCCCTGCCCGGCCTCGTCTCGCCCTGCCCAGCCTCGTCGTCACAGCCCCGGCCCTACATCCTCCCTGGTACTGTCCCCCGTTCCCTGCACCGCTTTGCACCGCACTGCACTTCCCTGCACCGCACTGCACCGCACTGGATCGCACTGCACCGCACTGCACCGCACTGGACCGCACTGCACCGCACTGGACCGCACTGCACCGCACTGCACCGCACTGCACCGCACTGAACTGCACTGCACCGCATTGCACAGCACTGCACCGCACTGCATCCCACTGCACTGTTCTGCACCGCCCTGTATAGTCCTTCCCTGCTCCTGATGGCGGCGGAGCTTCGCTTCGATGCTGAAGGTCAGCCACTGGAGTTCGAGGCGTGGCTTGCCGACCTCCGCCGCCACCTCACCGGCCAGCGGCAAGATGGCCACCCGCCTTCCGCACACCTTGACGGTACGCTCCCCTGCCCAGACCCCCCTGCTGTGTTGCCCGCCGACCCCACACCCGCTGAGCGCGAGTCCACTGCCGCCGCTGCCCTAGCACGCGCTGTCTGGCTTTCCCAAGACGCTGTTGCTCAGCTCGCCATTAGCAATGCCCTTCCCCCGCCTGAGCGCCCTCGTTTTAGGTCCATCACTACCGCCCAGGCCTACTTAGATGCTGTCATCAAGCGCTATTCTGCCCCCCCTGCTGCCTCCGTGGGTCGCCTGATCCTCCGGATGCTCTTTCCTGACCTAACGTCTTTCCCCACTGTCTCTGACCTAGCTGCCCACCTGCGCTCGATATATGAGACTTGGCGCGCTGCCTGCACTGATGCACAGCTTAGAGCCCACCAGCCGCCCAGGACCTCTACCCTCTACCTGCTTGCCACCCGCCTCCCTGACCGCCTTGCCGCCGCCCGCGACCAGTTCCTTAGCATTCAGCCCGCTGAGCTCACCCTCACCGACTTCGTAGACACCCTGACTGTTATCGAGACTCGCCACCGCTCCATCGCCCAGGCGAGCGGTACGGTACCGGTCCCTATCTTTCAGGGTTGTGCCCCCGCTCAGTGTACCTTCTCCGACGGCTCTGTCGCTGTGGCTGAGACTGCTGCAGCCGCACAGTTTCGCTCGGGGAAGGGTCGCCGCCCCAAGGCTGGGCGCGGCGGGGGAGGCGGGGGTGCAGGAGGGGGTGGTGGTGGAGTCGGGTTGTCTGGTGCTGGAGCGGACGAGGGGACGCTGCCCAGTCCGGCTGACCCACTGCCTCAGCAGCCGCAGCAGCAGCAGCAGTCGCCGCAGCCGCAGCCTCCGCAGCAGCCACAGCACCCGCCGCCGACGAGGCATGCGAGTGCCCTCCCGCCTGGGTGGCCTGGAGCTGGTAGTGGCCGTGCGCGTGGTGGTGCGCCGGGTGGTGGTTCCGGAGGCGTGCGCTGTCAATACCAGATCCAGAGCGGTCCGCGCCGCGGCTTCGTTTGCGGTAAGATCGGTCATTCCACTCCGCGCTGTTTTCGTCGCCTGGACGACCTGTTCCGTCAGCGCTTTGGCCCGTCGCCCGACCTCCCGGACTGGCACAGCTTGCTTAGGCGTAGTATTCAGATTTTTGACTTGGACATGGATGCTATTGTAGCCGCCCTGCATGTGATGTATGCTGATGACTCTAGTGTGCTTCCTTCTTATTACCCCGTGTTGCCTAGTGTAGGTGTGCCTAGCGTAGACTCCCCTGCAGCGTCAGGCGTAGGATCTTCTGCTTTGTGTAGCCTCGGTGCTTCCACCGCTTCTCCGCCACTAGGCGCCACTGCTGCACTTTCCTTCACCTTGGACTCTGGCGCTTCCCGGTGTTTCTTCCGCGACTCCACTACGCTTACGCCGCTTCCTGTTTCTGCTGCCGTTTCTCTTGCTGACCCCTCCGGTGGTCCGGTCGTAGCCCGCAGTTCCACCTCCCTTCCCTGTCCGGCGGTTCCTTCGGGTTCGCTCACAGGTCTGCATATCCCCTCGTTCTCCAGGAACCTAGTTGGTGTCGGCTGCCTCCAGGACCTTGGCGTCACCACTACGTTCCCTGGGCACGAGCGGTATGCTGTCTGTACCGAGGCCGCCACTGGTGCCCCCCTTACCACGTTCCCCCGGGACCCGGTGTCAGGCCTGTTCACACTTGACACCGTGACTTCCCCGGCTGGGACGTCCCCCCAGGTGGCTGCGTCTACTCAGGTTGCTGCTGCTTGCTCCTGTCGGTCCCTCACTCACCCGACACTCCTTTGGCACCACCGCCTTGGTCACCCTGCGCTCCCGCGTCTACGTCACATGTCCCAGCACGGTCTCGTCCTTGGTCTCCCCGGTTCGTTCCCCGAGTTTCCCTCCTCCCCCGCCCCACCTTGCACGCCTTGCGTCGAGGGCTGGCTTCGCCGTGCCCCTCACTCCTCCTCGTTTCCCCCTACCGCCGCACAGCTGCAGACTCTACACATGGACGTCTGGGGCCCCGCCCCCGTCCATGGGCCGCGTCGCGAGCGCTTCTTCCTCGTGCTTGTCGACGACTTCACGCGCTACACCACCGTCTTTCCCCTGGAGCGGAAGGCCGACGTGCCTGACGTTCTCATCCCCTGGCTTGTCTCTGCTCGTGTCAACCGCGGTCTCCCTGTCTTGCGTCTTCACTCCGACCGTGGTGGCGAGTTTGTCACCGGTGTCCTCGGTCGCTTCTGTCGTGCGGAGGGCATCACCCAGACGTTTACCCTGCCGGACTCCCCGCAGCAGAATGGGGTCGCTGAGCGACGCATCCGTTTCGTCATGGAGGTGGCTCGCACCTCCATGATCCATGCCGGTGCACCCCATTTTCTGTGGCCGTTCGCCGTGCGCTACGCTGCTCACCAGCTTAACCTGTGGCCGCACCCCCAGCGGCCGCAGGTTTCGCCGACCCTTCTGTGGACCGGGTCCCCTGGTGACGCGTCTGCGTTCCACGTCTGGGGCTGCCTTGCTCACGTTCGTGCCTCTGGCACGGACAAGCTCACTGCCCGCACCCTTCCCTGCGTCTTCCTCGGTTTCCCCCTTGACGCGTCTGACTGGCACTTCTACCACCCGCCGTCTCACCGCTTCTTTCACTCTCGCGACGTCACCTTTGACGAGTCCGTCTCCTTCTACCGCCGCTTCCCCCACCGTGGTCCCCCGGTTACTCCCCCCCTGTTCCTGGTTCCTCCCTCCCTGGTGGTCCCTGCCCCTCCCCCCCCCCCTCCCCCCCGTCCGGCCCCCTCTGGTGTGTCTCACGTCACCCCCCTCCCGTCGGTCGTCCCGGTCGAGGAGTCTTCTGACTCTGGTAGTCCCCCGGCGCAGTCCTCGCCGCCAGTCCCTCCCCCGCTGTCTCCACCTCCACCGCCTCTGCAGCCGACGCCGCCGTCACCGCCGCCGTCGTCGCTGCCGCCGTTCGTGGACTCTGGGGTTGCTGGAGTTGAGGTGGGTACTCGTCCCGGGGCTCCTGTCGTGGCTTGTCCCGGCGGGACTGGGGGTGGTACCAGCGCTGGCGGGGTTTCGGGCTCTG